AAAAAATTGTCTTTTTTTTCCCTTTCAATTCACCAATTTAATTTTCATTTTGTGTTATACTAAAAAAAAGTTTGTTTCTTTTTAATTTTTGTTTTTATTTTTGGTTAATGGGTTTTGCTTATTTTGTATTGATCTGCAATTGTTCTTATTTTGGTTTGTTATTTCTGTTTTGTTTTATCTCTTATGGCTTGAACAGTTTTTAATTTATTATTTAATTATTAATACTATTATTTTAGGGTGTGCTTAGAATTGTAGCAACTTCTTATAGATTAAATGTTTTTTTTTTCCTTGTTATCACATGCATATGTTTATATGAGTGTATTAGTTTTGGTAAGGGGAGTATCAGAGCCCAGTTCAACTTTGTTTTGATGAAAAAACCCAGGTTTCCTCTTACAGTTGGGTATAACTGCAATGGAAGAATGAATATCAGAAAAAGAGAATAATTATGATGGACTGACTCTTAAAGAAGAGAAGGAAGTCCCAAATTTTTCTGTTTTGTTCATGAAATGGAAACACCATTGGCATGTGATTGATTAATACTGGCATGACTGTATTGAAATGACTCTGGACTGTTGTTGGATCGGACACTGATAGTTATGTTCAGTTGGTTGATGCGTGATTCTCTAATTAATGAATACTAATTTGTTGTTGGGTTTGTTTGCTTTGAAAGCTGAAATATATTGTTTTTTTGGTTGTTCGTTCTATATTTGCATTTGGAAAGAGATATCATGTTATACTTTGATCTCAACGGAGTTTCTTGTTCCAGCGTTCTACTTGCCATATGATCTTACTTTTGTATATCTATAGCCAGCAAGCTTTTATATATATATATATATATATATGTTTTCTTCTAATTTTGAAACTCTTTTTTATAGATGAAGAACGCTAGAATTGTTACAACAGAGGTTATTCAGGGTAGGAGTAATGATAAAGCCAAGGCAGTATGGGATAGGAACTTAACAATGATATTCTGTGATCTTTGCATAAAGGAAAAAGATCATAATAGCAGGCCGGGAACTCATTTTAAAAAGGAAGGGTGGTCAAGGTTGGTTGCAAATTTCAATAAAGAAACTGGTAAAGAATATGAAAAGTCACAGCTGAAAAATAGATGGGATCTATTGAAAAAAGAATGGAAGCTATGGAAGCAGCTCAAAGGGAATGAATTTGATACATGTTTCCGGTGGGATCTAAGAAAGAACAATATTGATGCTTCAGAGGCATGGTGGGAAAAGAAGTTAAAGGCACATTATTGACTCGTAACAAATAATTTATTCACCTCTTTCTAATTTCTCAATATATAAGGTTGATAATGCTCATGTTTAAATTTGTAGGTCGTGCCTGAGGCCATAAAGTTCAAAAATGGTGGTATTGATCCAGAATTGGAAGAAAAATTAGATCGGATGTTTCTAGGTATACTAGTCAATGGTGACATAACTTTGGCACCGACATTTGGTTTACCGCCAACTGATGGAACTGATGAAGATGAATCACCTAAAGTCAAGGTAGAAGTTGTCCCGGTAGAGGACATTCCAACGCCTAAAAAGGCAATAGATGAATGTTTGAATGAGATAGATAACCATTGCATGGAGCAGAATCCTCAGCCTCACTCTGAATCTGAGCACCAGTCAGAGCTGCCATGCGAGAAGAAGAGATCCCAAGAGTTGGATTCTTCTCATCTCAACAAGGGTAAAAAGAAAGTACCAAAATTAGTTGGCAGGGTTGCAGCACTGTCTAGGCATATAGATAGATTGTGTAGTGCAGCTGAGAGTATGAGTACGGCAACTTCAGCCAAGTTAACTTCAGAGCCATACAACATTCCTGAGGCAGTTCAATTGCTGGATAACATGGAGCAAGAAGTTCCAAAGAAGAGCCAGTTGTATTATTTTGCCACGAAGCTGTTCCTTAATAAAGACAAGCGGACGATGTTTATGTCATTGTCAACTGAGACAAGAGCTTGGTGGCTTAAAATGGAGATGGAGGAGACCTCCAAGTTCGCTCAAAGGGATCAAACAGCAAGACAGTGAATGTTACAATAGCTTTATGTAACTTGATTTGAATGTATTCTGATCAAGATGATGATGAAGCTAGCAAACTTAAGCCATGGATGCTGTCGCATCCAGCATAATTATTCTCAAGCAGCTTTTTTGTCCATAGGTTTGTGAGAAATGGTTCTGTTTAGAATATAAACGTTCTCCTCCTTTTGTCCATAGGTTTGATATACTCTTGACAGGTCTAGACTTGTATAAAAGTACAAGCAAACCTAAATGCCAGGTGTCCTAAGATTTGTATCCAAAATTTCAAATTGCTGATTTGGAAATACAAAATTAGGCAGACATAATCTCCATAATTGTGATAGCTGATTAGCTACTCTCATTTCGTGAGAAAATCATTAAATTTAAATGCTACCTCAACCAAGAACTAGAAGCAAAGTCAAGTTGTGTGCTTCCTTCCAGCAATAGGAACTCTTATTGAATCAATGACCCTATAAAAAGCCTTAGCTATACTTAAATAGAAGAATTTGGCAATGCCAATACCAACCAATTTGGAGGTAGGCAAGGCCAGTTGCAGGTCTTATACTGGAACATGTACTCAATAATTGAATCAACGGTCCCATTATTCTAACATGAACTACCCATTTATGCTTGCACCCAAAAAATAAGAATCTAACGGCTAAATAGGTACTATTTCTGAGCGTAGCCCTGCCTAATCAATTGAAAACACAGCTATTAATCATTCTAATATTAATGAGCTTCCTTTGATGGGCTTAGCATGAAAAGCTGCCAATGCTGATAAAACTGAAAAGAGTTCTGCAACACGGTCAATGGACAAAATTCTACAGCCATTTTTCCTGAGGGAAAGTTCTGTATTTTGGGGCACTTGAGCAACAGGATCTGAGACAATGGTGTCATCCCATGTCTTCCTTCTCTAAGAGTTTTTTTTTTTTTTTATTTGCAGGTAAGATATAAGTTTTGACTGATATATTAATATCATTATCAGTCAATCCTTCCTGGAGTTGTTTGGAAGGGAAAAAAAAACAAAAAGAAAGGAGAAAGGCTCCATTATTAAAGTAGTATATTTAGGTAAAGTCTAAGCATCAAAAACACCGGAGGAGAGTTAAAACTGCCAGAAAATAGACTAAGCAACTCACTTCAATGTTATGGCCAAACAAAAGCTTTCAGAAAACACCTGCTCTTTTCTTTTCTTTTGGTTACAATGGGGAAAGCATATCAGTCCAAATTAAGTATCTTAGATGGACCTCCATAAAAGACCTGTTAATTTACATATTCTTTTTCTCCTATTTTTTTATGTAAACCAACATGTAGCTCCAAACAAAGAGAAATAGAGGAGTGGCTACTGGCAAGGATACTTTGATTTCCACTAGCTTTTTATTTTTCTGATATATTGACACTAAAGGGCTTGATATTCTTGAAATGCTTCATTGTTTTGATGTAATTTGTGGTGGATGGGATTCCACCAGTATGGACCAAAGGACATGTACATCCTCATCTGGGCAGGACTTCACATCCTCATATAAAATGTATATCCCTCTACCTGTAAATCAGCAAAAGAAGATTTAAAAGAATTCAGTCATGAAAAAGAGACAGCAATAAAGAATTTAACCACAACGGAGTCGTGAAAATCTTTAAAATGGCAGTTGACAATTCTAAATACATTCTTCATTCATGCATTTTGTGAATGTGTGTGTGAATAGTGAATGAATGAGCCATATATGTATGGTATGTTGTGCTGCAAAACATGGTGGGGAAATGGAATAAGGAAAAGGCAAAAGGAAAAACAAGCAATGTTCATGCACTAAAACGATACTAGAATAGATATTATAAATAGTAAGTACTCTTTCTTGGAGCTGAGTGCATCCGAAACCACAGCTTCTTCAATGGGAAGAGGAGGGATTGCAGCCACCCCATTTGTCAAAAGGGAGTGCTTCATGGTAGGTGAAAGAAATAAAGCATTTAGAGGGGAAATTCCAGAGAGAGAGAGAGAATGTTGATTTGCTTTAGACAATGGTGAATTATAGATTACAATATCTAGCACCCATTCCATCCTTTTGCAGGCTAAAGATACAAAAAGGAAAAACTAGTTCAGTGTTTGGTGATAAGTCTTTTCTTCCATTTTCACTTGAAGAATGAGGAACCCTACTCAGACAACAAGAAGGCCCAGTGTGATCTTCAATTTTTTCTCTCAGATTCCCTCCCTTCTACTTGAAGTCATAGTTTCCTAACTCACATGAATAGGATTGTCGGCACCATTACATCCTTCAACAAAACCAACTTAATGAAGTTGCCATCTTTTTTCTTTAGTGGTCCATATCTCTAAGGCTGCAGGGCAGCCACGAGTACTATTTCAGGACCATGTCTCTGAGGGATGGTTGAACAAGCGACTTGTAAATGTTGTCTAGTTGATGAGCCAATGACTCAAATACATTCAAAATTTGCAGCAAGAATCAATCCCAGGTTGGATAACAATCAAACAAATTTGTGTGAGACAAGTTTATCAAGCTTCGGAAGTTATCAGAACAGTAAACATTATAAAACAGGTTCCCAGTCATAATCAGCTTTAGTGCATGGGTAGTGAATATTAAGGTCAAAAAACTTGGTTGGTATTGACTATGACAATACCTTGTTTTGTTATTCGAATTTGAAGGTTTAGGTTCAAGAGGTTTTGATTGAGGTTATACACCACCTGACAACTTGACAGAGCCTTCTCCCACTCTCCGGGCACCAGGCATGCTTTATTTATGCAAGAAGAGCAGTTTAGAAACTTCTTCCGGAGGACATTAGCTTTCATGTAGTTGAATTGGATTGTCATTGTTGAATGGGGGAGGAAAACAATATCAATCAACATATACGAGAGCTTCTGATTTTTAAAATATGATAAAGTGATTTAGTTGAATCACTTCCAACATACTCTCTGGGACTTCTCTGTAATTTATGCCTAGAATGCTCCCTAGGAAGCTTAGAAATCAGGATTGAACAACCACATTACTATTCAAAATTGTAGTAGATGATAAAATATCACCTCATTTATTTCAATAAGTTTTGTTTGTAACTATGTATTTGATTCTACAAAATAGGCTTCCTCTGTCCTGAAATGTCATATACCAAACAAAAATGTAGAAGACAGATTGGTGTAAAATATTTTCCCAGCTTTAAGATTATGAAGACGTCTTAAAATCAAAATGGTCAGCTGAGAATCAGATTATATGACTGCACAGATGAGAACCAAGATGAATATAAGTGCAGCTGATCCAAGTACTGCACCGAAGATCCAGAAAACCTTCTGAAGCAAACTAAATGAAGTAGAAGTACCACACTGCTTCATCTGCACCATTGACACAAGAAGAGAAAAGAAAAACTGATGAAGAGGTTAAGAAAGATTTGGAACTTAAGTTGTGAATCAGTATGCTCAAAAAAGATTTCCACACCTGCAGTTGGCTTTGCATCGTTACATCATTAGACTGCATCAGAAAAGCAAAATCAAAGGGCCTGTCAGAATTCAGAGGCTTGGGAAACATTGTTTGAAGAGCAATAACTTAATAGAAATACTAAAACATACAATGAGAGGTCTGAGAAGCTCTGGGTCATCTTTGGACAATGACGTTTTTGTTTGATCTACATGACAAGATGAGAAAATTAATCAAAGTCATAAACAGTTTCTTTGGAAGCAATGAAAAGAGGCCTCCCTAAGCATCAGCTTCCATGATATGATGCATGCAATGTGTGCAGTGTAGGTGTTTCCAAGGTAAGGTAAGCGGAAGACCAGCAGACCTAGTTAATCCGGGAGAGGAAACTTATCCATCCATTTCCTCATATTAGTTCATAATTAGTGGAGATTTCAAATCCTAATATCATGAAACATCTAACCATCCAGTTTTCTTTGTAGCCAAATATCGTAAATGCTTGTAGGATTACATTTCCAGGGGTCCTTGCTCCAACCTAATTTTGATTGGAGATGCTACTTTAGCTCAGATGCTCTTTTATCCATTAAAAACTTTGGCCCGCATATCATATTGTTAAAAGCAAAAGGAAAGGATCAGCAAAGACAACAAAGTTAGATAAATGCGTTTTGCCACAATATTTGCTTACTAAGAGCGTGATGATAGGATCTAAACCTCTATATTAATCCAATTTATTCTTTCAAAAGTTGCAACCATTTCCATTTCCCACTCCAATATTTTGGCAGAAAAGATGCAAACAAATCTGTAGTATTTTTATCCTTACTTTTAGATTATAGAATTCTACCTTGCTCACAGTCATTGACATTTGTGTTTATTGCTTTGGCATTTCCAGGAGTTAAGCATCCTGGCCTGCAAAGAAGAATAAAAAACATATGCTAAGTTCATGCCACAAGGCAATTACATTCAAGCAGACAAGATCAAAGACCAGGTTGTAGTCCTGAGAAGAAATGAAGGCACCAACTCTCTCTTTTTGCATAGTTCTTTCTTTTCTTGAAAAGTCCCTTACATAACGGAGGATTCTTAGTGATAAGCACATAATCAAAAGTAATTAGGGTTATACACCACAACGCAGAAATTCGGAGTTTCATTGTGGCTTGCTAATTCCTACTTTCATATTTCCCTTGGCTTAATTATCATATTCTTATCCAAGGGTCCGTCTGGCATAACGGTGAGATGGGAACAACAATACCTGCTTGAAGTTGGTAACGCATACAGGCTAAGAGCCAATGCTTTTGTTCTTAGCTGCATTTCCGACAGCATGTTCCACCGATAATCCAAATCTTCATTAGTTCTGCAAATGGACTGCAGCAACAGGTTACTCATGCAAGCAGAACGAGAACTGATTTACCACATGGTTTATCTTTACAATTGATAACATTGATTTGAGGTTTGAGCAGAAAATAAAGGGGCTTAAAGAGAAGTCAAAAAATTACCAGTGAATCTACCATATCCATGACAAAGAGAGTTAGAAACAACCATTTGCGAACAGTCACAGTTCTGTTGTGAAGAGCCAATTAACCAAAACGAACAGAAATTAAGAAGCAATCCTTCTTTTCCTATCTACGTATCAATGATCATATCGGTTACTATGCCAATCCATTCATAGATTTCATATCTTTCTTCAAAAATTTTCAGGAAATTAAGTAACCATCAAAGATACAACAACAGGAAATTAAACTGATCACCAAAAGATGCAATAAAAAGAAAAGGAAAGAAAGAGTAACTCAGAGAGAGAGAGAGATAAAAAACATACAAAATGGGTTTTGAAGGAGGGTTTCTAAGGAGAGATTCAAGACGATCAAGTTTGATCCCAGCTTCCAAAAGCTTGGACCGAGCAGTAATGTCTACAAGCCTATTTTCTTGGTGTTTTAGAGATGGGTTCTTGTTCTTTACTCTAGTTTCTATATCTTCCACCAACTTTGATGCTTCTTGAGCTTCTCTTATCCATGCATCTCCCATTAAAGCTTGCTTATACATTCTGTCACTCTTTCCGGCAAGAAAACAGCACACTCCTCTCTTCTGCCTTCTAACCCTCTCTCCCCCTCAAAAGAACGAGAAGAGAACAAAACTTCAAAGGACAAAGCAACCAACTAAATGTAGGAAAAAGTGAAAAACAAACAAGTGACCCTGTTCTGAATTATCTCTCTCTCTCTCTCTCTCCGAGTTCACAAAGCAACAAGAACAGCTTGTTTGCATGAAGCATTTGTCTGGTTTCCATCTCTTTCTGTATCAAACTACTCAAACATGAAGGTTTTGAGCCAATGGCATTGTGGCACATCAGAGCCAAAAAGCAATGAAATTGTTTGTAGAATTAATTATTGGATGTGGTTGTCCAGCTAAGCTATAAGGTCATCTGCTCGTAGCAAGTTTTTGTCCATGATAATCATATCGGGCTGCAATTTCTTCTTGTTGCTTTTTCAATGTAAGTAAGAAATTTTTATATTGCTAATTAACGTAGATTCCACATTATTTGTGTGAAGATAAGGTAAGATAATCTATTAGTACCTGACGGTGTTGTCCTTTTTTGATCACAAGACAAAGGATTGGCCACTTTCAAATAAGATTGTCTGAGCAATAATGGAAAAAATAAAGGGATAAATCTTCTAAAAACCCTCATATTATACTCTTTTATTCAATTAAGTCCTTCACTTTCTATAAATAAATTTTTAAATTTTTGTTTCAAATCAAACAAATCTTCTCTAAATTCAAAATTAAAAATTTAATTATTTGATATATAAAATATCGGAGAGAGAGGCTTTGGTGCAAGGCCTAGCTTACACCAGAAGCCCAGAGAGCCCAATATAGGTTCACTAAGCTTGTAAACTTGGGCTTTGTTTGGTCCAATTGAACAGCCCAATAAGCCCTTGATGGAATCTCTAAGATTATTATGCATATTTTTTCTGACATTGGAAATTGAAATGTCAAATTCATGGGGTTGAAAAGGGCAAAAAAAAAAAAAAAACTTGTGAAGAGTTTTGGAAGCAATGATAATGGTCATTGTATAGAATTATGGCCAATTCCATCACCACAAAAACAAAAAATAAATCCAACATTAAACGATACGAAAATTTAAAATATCCGTATCTGATTTTATTTTTAAAAATGATACGTAAAATTTTTACATGGTCAAATGATAATACTAGTGATGATTTTTTCAGTATGCTTAAGCAAATAAGTGACAAGAAATGAGTGGACCAAATTTTGACTTTAGAATTCTGGAGTCTATGGGTTTCAAAAAAAAAAAAATCAAAAGCTGTGAAAATCACTAGAGATGTTGGAGTGTAAGCATGATGGCAACTTCTAAAGGAATGCAAACAAAAAGATTAAAGATCCAAGGAAGGGGAATGATACATAGATGCTCATTGTCATGGCAAAAAGGTGTCGACCCGGCAAAAGGCTAAAGGAAGGGCAAGAAAATAAAGGTTCAACAAAGCTGCTTATCTTCTTTGCACCTTTTATATTCTTTTTGTCCCGCATGAATTTCTTTGCTGTTCATCTTCATTGTGTCCCCCCTCCCTTATCAATCTTTTTCCCCTCAAAATAAATAAATAAATAAATAAATAATTCGGGTTTTAGTGGGATGATTCGGGTTGCCCATGAAACTCTCTTTTCTTGACTCGGAAAACATTGTGAAAATGCCGTTTGTTGATGCTTGATCTCGTCATAATCGATTTGGTTTGACTTAATCTTTATACGTAAGGTAAGTAAAAAAAAAGATTTTGTGTAAGATAGATTTGATTTAATTTAATATTCTGAATTTTAAACAATCAAGACCGTTATTATTTTTCTTTAATAAACTTGATGTTAAATATTCAAATTTTTTTATTTTTTTAATTTCTTTATATTTATATATATAATTTAAAATTTGACTACGTGAATCTGTATTTTGAATTAATTATAAGATTATGGTAAGACCATAATACCCAATTAATCAAAATTTTTACGTTTTTAATAAGATTTGTTGAGATAATTCCCATACTTAATTAACTAGTTGTCACTGAAAAACCCAATGATTGATTGACACGATAGAGGCATCATGCTAATTAAAGCCAACAAAATCCATCGAATCCTTTATCTTAAATAAGAAGCATTGGGTATGTTATATTATAAATATAAGACTATAAGAAATTAAGGACAAGACAACCTTAATCCTCAAGTTTTATCAGCACCATCTTTTAACCCATTAAAGATCTTGCAATCTGTCCTACGTACTTTACTACTATAATGATTTATTATTACAATAAAAAAAAAGTTACTAAATTGCTTGTAATTTAGCCTTAATCGCAATTAGATGATAGATTAGGCATGAGTCAAATTTGATAAATTAAATGAATAGAGGATAAATAAAGTATGATAAGGGGGAATTACACGCAATGTATTAGATGTACCATTGATTTAATAATGTGAATTAGTTTTAGGGTTAATTTTTGTTTTCATAAACTTTTCGGTCCGATGATTGCGCCTATGTCGGTCCAATTATTTAATCATAGAGGGTGTAATAAACTAAGGTTCTTTAACAAATGAAATGCATATAAAGATATGGTTAGGGCCGGTTTGTCATGGAGTCCCGTGCTTAATGAAATTATTGACCATAAGGCTAACAAAGTGACGGGCTTGCATGTCCGGCGACACTTTACTAGTAAATGTTTATATTTCCTACTATAACCATATGATATATTGTCCGTGTATATTATTTATACATCACCATTTAATTATAAAGTATTATTTTATAAATATATAAAAAATCTAAATTAAAAAATATTTTAAAATAAATATTTTTAAAATTACAGATATTTAGTTTTTAGAGTTTTCAATTTTTAAAATTATTTATTAGTGAAATGATGAAATTTAAATTATTGATAATATATAAAATTTATACACTAACAATGCATAAAAACTCATTTTAAAATTATATTACACAAACTAATCAATTATAAAAGTCATTTCTGCGATCTCATATCTTATTATAAATAATAAACTTTGTGAGTCATTTTGTTTATAAATCATAATATTATCTTAAAAAAAAAACTCAATGTAAATTAGAATTGTAATTTTTGTACATGTATATTTTTATTGATATAATTAGTAATTATGTAAAATAGGAAAACCCAAAAAATTTTAAAAATTATTTAATCAAATAGAACTTTAATTCATAAAAATAACATAATCACAAAAAAATAAAAAAGGTTATATCTATTATGTTAATTAATTAATTAATTAAAAAGAAAAGACAAGGAACGAAACGGGCTTTTTGGAGGCCCAATAAGGCGCAAGTGAACAAAAAGCCGGCCCCGTTTGGGCTGTAACGCGTGCCAACTAACCATGGACAACTGCACGTGAATACCACGTCTTTATTCTCCATAAAGTAAGATTTTTTAAACTATAAAACAAAAAAATCTTAACCCATTTTCTCACACGCCATGATTGTGCGTGGGCCTCACTTTCCTATTTTATTCATTTCACACCCTCTCCTTTTCCTTTTCTGATATTTACCCTAATCATCAAGAAAATATCTCAAAGAGAAAAAGTAAATAAAAATTGTGAAGTAAAAATAAAGCCAAAAAAAAAAGAGAGAAATATTTGGCTAATATATTTATGGTTTTTTTTCATAATTTTTTTAAGGTAACAACACTTTGGGAATCAAAATCCAACCAAGAAAAGACCAACTCATGTGGAAACCATAAAGAAATACATAACCTACACAATTTAGGGGAGGAAAAAAGAGAGAGAAGGAAAAGCCTAGAGAGATATGATGATGAGGTTGGCAATGAGTGAGTGCTTTGTTGGTACCTAAAATTGGGGTCAAACTCTAGTCCTAGCCTCAAGTTTTTGCCAAATTTTGTTCATTAGTTTAGATTACAAAATCCCATTTTGCAATTATTTTTATGTCATATTTCAATAATAATTGGTTATAAAAAATTTTGAAAATATATATATATAAGAAAAAGAAAAACATAAACATAGTAATCTTCAGTCATGGAAATTATACCATAACATGGAAACCATGTCTTCATGCTGAAGTATGTAATCTATGTGTCAATTGGCTATCAAAACCAATCTTTTTTATTTATTTATTTAAGCACAAAATCGTGCTTGCATTTTTCTTGTTTCCTTAGACCCCACTTGATGAAGCACATTCTTTCACCATAACTCTTTTATTTATTTATAGTCTTAAACTCTCAATATATATTCTTCAATCCATAAAGCTTGAAAGAAGTTTCAACCCCAAGAAAAGAAAAAAAAAAAACCCTTAAAAGCAAGCTCCCTTCAATGTTTGTGCTTAAATTTTGGCTTCACTATGTTACATGTGAGCATGTCAGCTAAGGGAAAGTTACAAGAGAGAGAGAGCTGAGAGAGATTCTCTTTCTTTGTTTTTTTTTTGGGGGGGGCTGTACTTTCTTTTCTCAGTGTAGAGTAATCTTCAAAAACCAGCCTTTTCCAGCAATACCCAGTTGCCAAAATCCTTCACATTTTCCTGGTCTTCAAAAAAAAAAAAAAGGGGAATATTTATTTTCAAGCTGTCATTGTCTGGAGGTAAAAAATTTTTTGAAAAAAAAAAGATTTGTAATTTATTTTAATATCATTGATAATGATAGCAGAGGAATTTACAGTGAAAGAACTCTGCTTTTTGTCTGCTTCTCTCTTTGTTGAAATTTTTTCACTTTACTTGAACTTGACCCCCACATTCTCTCAATCTGTCTTTAAAGTTTGAAGCTTTAAACATTTTTCATTGATGGGTGTTTTGAGTTTCTTGCAGAAAAGAAAAAAAAATGTACCACTCCAGATCAAAATCAAGCCTTGACAAGCTGTTTTTGAGGCAGTTTTGAGAGAGTGTTATTTTTGAGACAGTTTTTTTACTGATCAGTTTAAGGTAAGGCTCTATCTCTCACTTCTTTACTCTCTGTTTCTGTTACTTTTGTCTCCTTTGTTTTTGTCTTTCAAAGCCTAAGTCAGCTTTAATTGTGTAGTTTTAGGTTGCGAAAGGTGCGCAAAAGAGAGTTTGTGGGAAGTGTTAAAGAGAAGAAGAGTTGAATTTTAAGGAATTGGAGTTATTTTGTTAGAAAAATGAGAGATTTTCCATCCTGTTTTGGTGAAAATGGGGTGCAAGTGGCTGATTCTTCATCATCAAATACTAGTAAAACTGCGCAGAATTTGGTTACTTGTGTTTATCAATGTCGAATTCGGGGTAGGTCTTGTTTAATAACTGTTACTTGGAGCAAGAATTTGATGGGGCAAGGCCTAAGTGTAGGGATTGATGATTCTGCTAATCAGTGTCTTTGTAAGGTTGAAATAAAGCCCTGGTTGTTCTCTAAGCGAAAAGGGTCTAAGAGTTTAGAAGCATATTCGTGTAAAATAGACATATACTGGGACCTTTCTTCAGCGAAATTTGGATCTGGGCCTGAACCTTTGGAAGGGTTTTATGTTGGTGTTGTTGCTGATAAGCAAATGGTTTTGCTTCTTGGGGACATGAGGAAAGAAGCTTATAAGAAGACCGGTGCAACTCCTGTTCCTTCCACTGTCCTTTTTGTGGCCAAGAAGGAGCATGTTTTTGGCAAGAAGGTATTTGGTACCAAGGCACAGTTTTGTGATAATGGTCAAATTCATGATCTGATAATTGAATGTGACACGATTGGTGTGAATGACCCCTGCCTTATAATTCGACTGGATGGAAAGACCTTGATGCAAGTGAAGCGGCTAAGGTGGAAGTTCCGGGGAAACCATACCATTTTGGTTGATGGAATGGCTGTAGAAGTTTACTGGGATGTCCATAATTGGCTCTTTGGAGCATCACTTGGAAATGCTGTTTTTATGTTCAAGACATTCCTCGCAGCAGAAGAGAAGTTGTGGGTTAGCCAACCCATTCCTAATCCGAGTACGTTGCAATGGTCTTTCTCGCAGAGATTTCAAGATTCCAAGTCACAAAATCTTGGTTTTTCACTGATTTTGTATGCTTGGAAGAATGAGTAGAGAGATTGTGAAGTTCTTTTCAAGTGCTAACAGAAACTTTTAGTGAGTGGTGATTTTTATCAACTCTGTGATTAATTACAATTAATTTGATAAAAAATGGGTACATTTGTTTTTTTTTTTCCGGTTCCCCTTCAGTTTTTTCTTCCTGGAGTAACTTGAGCTTTTAATGGATCAAAAACAATTTTATTGTTCTTGGTCAGCTGTATATCCTTGATACATTAGTTTAATTCTCAATTTTTGTTATATGAAAAAAGAAAAATTCTTCAATGGATAGCTGTTCAAATCTTCTTCCAGCTGCAGTTCGAGTTGGTTTAGCATATGGTGTGTGTTGTTATGACTAGCTGAGTTGATATCTCCTCTAAGCATCATCATGAAAGTATGGAATGCCTTTTCTTTTCGGCCAAAAGTATGGTATGTCTTTAACTGCAAGTATGGCTTTCACTCAGCTGAAGTCAAATGACCAGATTTAGTTTGATTTTGCTTCTTGTTGTAGTTTCTTAAACTGATTTTAAAATTCTATTGATGCTATAATTGTGCTTGGGTTATTCCAGATATATGAAAAAACTATGTTTAGGCACCCCAAACGTTATAGGCTTGGTCCGCTTGTGTATTAATATCTAACTTTGCATTCTATGTTAAATTCCCATTAAATAAGAGCTTTGCTTCTTGCATAATTTTCCTAGATTGGTAACCTAACTGAATGAAAATCAGATAGCTTTAGCCTTTGAGACCTTCAGCAATATCATGCTAGAAAAATCTTACATGTGGGAAGTGCTTTTTTATTGAAGAACTTAAGAAACTTTCCATTGGGATTTGCAGTGACCTTGAGTTGAATAACAAATGGGATATTCGAGGCCAACTGTCAAAATGCACCATAACTGTGTTTTTTTATAGGATTTGAGATTATGGGGAGAGGATGGTCGTTCCAAGAAAAAGATGTCCACTTTCCCTGATGGACTGGCATGTTAAGTTCCTTATCTTTTGGGGAAACCTTCTACTGTCTTGTCACCTAATGTCCTAGTAATAGCTGAGGAAAAAGTATTGTAGTTTCATGAATTGAAACACCCTTGGTGTATAGTGGTAGACACTCCTAGATGGATTGGAAACACCCTTGGTAGCAGCATTCTCTTGATAGATTGCAAACTGTGCTAGGAAAAATCTGCTCTGAATTTCACACCATCAAGACTTAATCGAACTCCTTAGAGCAGTACTGTCACCGCCCTTCTATGCATACAGGCTTTGTGAAGCATATATAACGAATTCATTTGATTTCTCTGTTGATCTTCTTTTTCCACTGATTTATATGCTTACAACTACGATATCAAAGGCGATATGTTGAATTTTGTACATCCCATCACCATATTCAAATGTTTGAAAACTTTTCAACTACCTAATCTCCTTCATGCCCTGCATAAAAGTCATTACATGTTATAGCTATGCAGGAACATCAGGGTCATTGAAATCTTTGTGTGGATTGATTGTTATCTTGCTAATTAACTTTCCTAGTAAGTAATCGCGTTCGATCGATACTGAAGAATCAGCCAGCTTGTCATGTATACATCCTCACTGCAACACATATATGTAAACTGATGAGCATTTGAGTTCCTAAAGAGACACTTCGCTGGGTACAGTTTTTGGTTTTTGCTACCTTTGAAGCTTACTCTTCCTCCTCATATTGCCTGCAAAACCAGTAAATCAATGAATTGACATCAAAATATCTGCTTCTTTATAAAATATCTAGTATGAGAATCTTGTCAAGCTAGTAATCCCTTATTTTCGTGTTCGACATTTCTTGAACATTTTAAATTCATATAAATACGATGTTTGAATCTTTAAAATTAAAAAAAAAATGATAAAAAAAATACAATGTATTGATATCGGACATAGATATTTTTTTATAAGATTAAGATTTGGAAAATAATAACCATAATTTTCCTTTTTTTGGGGTGGCTTTGTAATAATAGCAAGTTATGTGGTAATAATCGAAGGGCTGAAGGTCAACATCCAAAGCCGAAGGAGCAGCTGGATCTGATTGGTGCTGCCACAAAATCCAGAATGTAGGCACAAGGAAACTCCCACTTTTTATTCCCTTCTCTGTCCACGGCGTTTTCCCCATGTGCAATTTCGTCCTTTACGTCCCCGACAAATTAATGTTTTTAAATTTTTTTTATGGCACTTTTTGGATGCTTCTTTCATCATATTTATCTTCTACTTAAATTTCTTAAATTATATATTATATATATGTATAAATTTCTTAAGTTTAGTATCATATTTTTTATAAAATTTAACTTTATGTGGCCTATATTTTCAACTTCCTTTCTCCAATTCTATATAACAAAAAGCGAAACATAAAAAGATATTTTCTAAATTTGCGAAAGAAGAGTATATTTATAAAATAATTAAATTCAAGATTTATATTAATTGTTCTTGAGGTAAGTATTGTGTATAGATATAATATATTATTAATGAACTAATGTTATTTTTTGTTAATAAATAGATTTAAAAATTGAGAATTAAAAAAATATTTATAATTTAAAAAAATTATTTAAAATTTTTTTATAGACACTTTATAATTAAGTGATAGTATATAGATATTATTCACTAATAATGTGTCAAATATAAATCATAAACAAAAACTAAATTATCATTTTTACTTTTAAAAATAAATAAATAAAAACTAATTTTTTTAAAAAATAAATTAATCATAGATAAATTTCTATAATCCTACGTCAATAAAAAATGAGATAAATGTTAAATTTATAAATCAAATTTTTTTCTAACTTAATAAGTATATTAAAAATATAAATTCGTAATAAATGACCATAATTTACCCAACTTTCTTATATGATATAAAAGAATTAAGATAACGAAAATGTTATGTAATTTAGTGTAATAGAATATTATATATCTTTACATTAATAAGAAATAAAATGAATATTAAATTTATAAATAATTTTTTATTTAATATATATAATTGGAGTTAAAAATATAATTTCGAGGACCACTAATGCATAGATATTATTTTTGTCTGAAAATAACGCTTGGTCTCGTACTTGGATGGGCCATAGCGTTTCTGTGGCAGCGGCCGTGATTAGCGTTTCAAGACGCGTTTTTGGATTCCAAGGAAACAGCCCAATCAATGATCATGACTACTTTGCTTTTTATTACTACTATTTATTTTTTAGCATAATTACACACATATTTCCAACATCTTTTCTTATGACAGTATCAGATTTTATTTAAATTTAAAATTATAAATAGCTAGCTCATTTCATAGCAAGTTTTTTGTCAAAAAAAAGGAAATAAATAAATCTATTATAATTATAAAGGAATCGTTGGTTAATTTAATTTAAAGATATATGAAATTAAACGAGTATATGTACCATTGAATTGAATTAATAGAATAATTATATCCTTAAACCATTACACCAACCTAATTAAATACACTACAGTAAACTTTTATTATCTATAAAGAAAAAAATAAATATCACTCAAAATATTATAATTCTTTATAATGCATATTTTTTATGATAAAATTAATATCATCATCAAATAAAGTATTTTTATATTTAATTTAATATTTAGATTAATCTCTAATGCATAGTATTTGTATATATTGAATAATTTGGGTCGTTCGGGATGAACCATTACTAATTTAAGAAATTAAAGATTTATGTAAATTTAAATTAAATGCATAAATTAAAAATAAAATAAGCATGGGCAATGATGCTCTGGCCCACTACTCGTAGGCTTCCTCTCGAGTACACCTTTTAGCGGCTTCCAGGTGGCATCCAGCTGTATGATGCCATTACGAAATTACTCTTGAGGCCTTTCAAGCTGCGCCGTTTTACCCCGTTCGCCACCTGCCCTCGCCCTTCCCCCTAAATTACCCTCAGCTGACCGTTTTATCTGCCCCCAACGGTCACTTGCCCCGACTAAAAATAAAAGAAAAGACAAGGAGTCAACGCGTTGACCAATGGCAAAAGTGTCATTCCACTAGAACAAGGCAAAGATGATGTGTAATTTCAGTGCCAAATCAGGGGCGTTTGAGTCATTTAACTGTATCTCAGGAGCGAAATTTTTTAACTCTCAGACACAGCCAAAGGAGGAAGAAGGAAGGAGGAAGAAGGAAGAAGGAGCAAGCTGAAACTCGGAATTCCAACTCAGTGAGTTTACTCATTGAGTTTCATTGCATTTATTCAGAGTGACTGAAAGAAAAACGAGACATGGGCGAGTCAAGTGACTCAGTATCCATTGATATTGACATGGTTCCTTTTGGAGGGAAGCTAAAGCAACTAACTAACTAACAAAACCGCCAAGAACAAAGCTTCAATCTTTCTTGTCTCATTTTTTCTTTTCTATTTTTATAAATATAATAGTCTTTTTTCTTTTGCAGGAGTTTTTGGTGAAAACAAGTAGAGGTTCTTTATCTGTTTTTGTATGTGGTGATCAAGAGAAGCCTGCTTTGATAACTTACCCAGATGTTGCTCTTAACTGTATGTTTCATCGCTTGTTCTTTCTTTTTTAGTGGAAAGATTGAAACTTTCGCGGTCTTTGTTTAGTTAGCTTTGATGGGTTTGCTTCTTTTACTTCATATATGTTGAAATTGAATTGGGTTTTGCAGCTTTTAGAATCTTCTGTAGTTTGATTAATTTCTTGCTAATTTGTTCATTTCTTAAGTTTTAAAAGTTGGCTACTCTTGTTTTAGACTTCAGTAGGTTCTTGATCTGATTTTTGAACTTCTTTGCCATTTGGGTTTTAATCGATTACTGATATTGGTTCCACATATTGGAGTATGAATATTTTGATATATGGTTGTTTTATGCTTTCTTGGTTTCTATAGACATGTCTTGTTTCCAAGGCCTATTCGTTTGCCCGGATGCAGCTTCTTTGTTGCTTCATAACTTTTGCATTTACCACATTGATGCCCCAGGGCATGAGGTCAGTATTAGAAATGTATTTGTTTAAACAATGAGTTGCTTATTCAGTTCTTAAATACCTTGTCAGTTCTTGTTTTCCTAATTGGATGATACTAATAAAATCTGTATGCCGTTTGTTTAAGAGTTTTTGCAGTTAGGAGCTAATGTCATATCTTCAGATGTTCCATTGCTTAGTGTGGATGACTTAGCCGATCAGGTTGCAGAAGTGCTTGATTTCTTTGGGTATGTAAATAATGCTTGTCAGCTCTCACTCTTTTCTACTCCTGAGCATTTTGACTAAAAGGGCAATGATAACTTCCTTTTTTTTTTTTAATAAATTCTTTTAATGAAGTTAAGTTGTAATTTTCTATTCCAATGCATTAAAAATTATTTTGGGATATCGAGGGTCATTTTACATTAAGTCATTCCTGTGTTTGCTTTATTGGATTAAACTGTTGTTTTTCCTTCAGTTTTTATATATGCTCTGTGTTACATGTCTCATGTTTGTTCTGCTAAAATTTTATGCCTCTTATTGACCCTTGAGTTCCAGTGCTCTGATACCCTGATATAATATTTGTGTTCCACCCATACTTAGTTTCAATTGGTATTACAAGTGTGCCAAATTCTTTCAACTAAATCTTAATTCCTAGGTATTTTTCTTCTATCAAGTTATAAAATGTAAAGCAGACGGATCTGATATGCATCTCTGGACCAAGTTCACTATGGGAATATTAGAACTCAATAGAATTTATTTGCTTTGCACTACATCCCATGAATTATTTTGTGTACAATCACACTCCCACGTTGTTGTGGGAAATATATATCTTTTCCCACTCTTTCTCTTTTTTTTTCCACCCCTTTTTAATGTTATAACTGATTTTAGGTTTTAATATCAGGCTGAAAAGGGTTCTATGCTTGGGTGTAACAGCTGGTGCATACATACTTACACTGTTTGCAGTAAGTTGGTATAAGATATAATAGTCAGCAGACTTTTTTTTATGTATAAAAGATTATTTTTTGTTGATACTTTGATAGTCTCATGTTATTTTATCTTCTGTGGCAGATGAAATATAAAGAGCGAGTGCTTGGATTAATTCTTGTGTCTCCTGTTTGTAAATCTCCTACATGGGCTGAATGGCTTTACAACAAGGTTCTAATTTGCAACCCCATATCATTAACAGTTATAGTGAATTTTCTTTGTATTAAATTCTCTCTTTTCAGGTGTTGATGAACTTGTTATACTTCTATGGTATGTGTGGTATATTAAAAGAATGCCTTCTTCAGCGCTATTTTAGTAAGGTAATCCAGGCCATTTTTTTATTTGTCATTTCTTATATTTGTTAGTGTGATAATTGTCGAATTCTTCTTGTAGGAACTTAGATCCAGCGTGCATGGTACAGAATCTGAGATCATCCAAGCTTGTCTAAAAGTAAGGAAATTAATAATAGACAAACACACTGGGACCAGAGCAGACACACATCCATATTTTTTACTTCAACTAAGAGAAACTGAACTTGTAGTGATCCTTTTGGTTGTGTGATTGCAGTTGCTGGATGAAAGGCAAAGTCTGAATGTTATGCGCTTTCTTGAAGCAATTAATAAGTAAGTTCATGTCACTTATCTGTGTCTTGCCTGCCTTTGTTTTCCTTTACCAAACTCCTTCATCTCACTGATATTCTCTTTCTAGTTTCCTGTGAAGTTCTCTTCAATGAAAAATGAAGGCTCAGATGTGTGTGTCTTCTTTCTTTCTTATAGCTAAGTACATTTGCCATGGCATTGATTGTGAAGTATATATGCAGGAGACATGACCTTACTGATGACTTGAAGAAATTGCACTGTAAGACTCTTATTTTTGTTGGTGAAAGCAGTCCATTCCGCACAGAATCTGTGCATATGAGTGCCAAAATAGGAAGAAAGAATTGCACTCTCGTTGAGGTAAATTGCTCAGAGTTTATTCTTTTCTCATTTGTGCTTTTGTAGCCTAATATAAATGATAGTTAATTAAAGGCTTTTAAGTTTGAAATGGGGAGGGGGTGAGCAGCCTGATTGTTTACTCTAGTAGATATACCTGCACACACACAATTTTGGATGAATATATTGAACCAGGATTGCTAAAACTGATTGTATTCACATAGTACCTACAGATATTAAAAGGTTGAAGAAAAGCTTGATGTTCTTGTTAATGTGCATGTTTTCTCTTCTTATCAGGTTAAAGCATGTGGCTCATTGGTAACAGAAGAGCACCCATTGGCCATGCTCGTTCCAATTGAGTTCTTTCTGATGGGGTTTGGTTTTCACAGACAACCACATTTTGCTACATCTTCTAGCAATGGTTCAAACCCTTCCAGCCCATCAAGCCATTCCTGCATAGCTCCTGAACTTCTTTCTCCTGAGGGTCTAGGGATCAAGCTTAAACCCATCAAAACCCGTGCAGATATTGAAATTTGATGAAGAGCTAACCACCTTGAAGCTTTTATTAGTTTTACACACATCTGATGTAACACACCCGGAGTAGGATTTGACTTTGGCTTCTTCCATCAGTTTGTAGAATACCTTTGAGGTAGCGTATTCTTTCATTGTGTTGGTGGGATAAGGTTTTTGGTGTTCATTGATATGTTAATTTTGATTGTAGATAAAATTGATGATCATTCTTTCGATAGGAAGATTCATTTTGTATTATGTATAAATGTTGTACACACTAAAACTTGGGGGATCAAGGTCATGTATCTGATGCAAAACTTCAGAGTAGGATTTGACTTTTAGCTCATTCTGTCATTGGTTCAGCATTAATATAATCAAGCTTTCTAATAGAAAGGACTCACCTATTATTTATATTCTTATCCTATTCTAGAAATAGGACGACAACCTTATTTGATACGAAACCAACATAAGCTAATCTGATCACTTATGGACAGAGACACGACAACCACCGTGATTTATAGGAGCTAGCAAAGCAATGCCACTTCTGCATTTCTTTTTCTTGGATTAACTTTTATCAGAGTTTGCAAGGTAAGATGGAATGGCTGATGTTATGAGCCCATTGAAATCACTCCCACAAGAAGAGGTATAAGCGCCCATGTTGTGGAAGACCAGCCAATCATTAACCTGTAGATCTGGCAGCAGGTAACCCTCCAAAACTGTATCAATCGGATCACATGTTGGTCCAAAAACTGTGGAATCGTATGTCTTAAGCACTTTGCATGTTGTGATGGTGTTGCTACCATAGTTGGCAAGAGGACTGGTAATCACATCATCATGGTTATCCTTCAAGAGTTCAGACCCCAAAATCCCATCGTTAATCCAATACTCTTTAATCTCATTCCTAACTCGCTTCCCTATAATGCACGTTGCTAATGTGAAAGGCTCGTTAGCAAAGAAACGACCAGATTCTGCCATAATTGTTAAGTCAGCAGCAGGTTCGTTGGGAAAATACTTCTGTAGAGCAACTTTCACGGCTGAGGCTAGTTCTGTAAACTTTGGACCGGATGTGAACCTCCACCAATGCTTAGTATATGCATTTTAGGAAGGCCAAGTTGAGCTGCTGTTTCAAATGTGGTTTTAGCTGCTAATATGGCTCCTTCGAATGCTAGGAAGTTAATGGCTCCGCTTCTTCGTTGTTCATTCAAAATGATCCATTGAATGAAAGCAATCAACTCATGTTTTGATAAGGGTATTGCTGCAACCCTCTTTTCTGTCACCATTGCTGGAGTACCAACCATTGTTTGGAAACACCTGGGACTTGATAACGATGAATGATCCCTCGGCGGAAAGAGGGGAGCAGAAATTATAGAGAAGAGTGTGAGTTTCCAAGATGATTAAGAGGGCCTATTAGTAGAGATTGATGTAGCTGGAATTTCATTAAAAGAAGTACACACGAAGTACATTGTTAATTAAGACAGCACGCCATGAAGGTAAAGAAGTTTAGTTGAAGTTTTTATGTTTTAGTCGTAGTACTTTATAATTACTTGATTGATTAAGTAAGATTAGGGCATTTTATAATGAAGATTGGATAGAATTTAGGTAATATTATTATCGGATAGGTTCGGATAATGATCATAATATATCTATTACTCGAATATAATAATAAATAATAATTTTTAATATTAAAAATTTTAATAATATTATTTTTATAAATTCATAAATTGTTGAAAATATGACTTTAAATTTTAATTTATTAATATATTTTTCATTAATATTATACAAAAAATTATTTTTTTGAATTTAAATTTTTTGCTAATACTAATAATTGGATTCAGATATTAAATGCTGATTTTTAAACGAGTTCGAGTAGAGAATGACTAATTAAATTTTAATAAGGTTTTGACTTGAATATTTCAAAATTAATAGATCGAATATGATCCAATTAAAATAATAATTATTAACATATATGAGATAATTATTGCTATATCCAATAAAACATAAAATCAACGAATTAACCAATTTATAATGTAGAAATAAAATTTCCTTCATAGTCGACCTAAATTTAGACCTTGAATTTTGAGGTCTATTTAATATCTTTCTAGTTGTTTTTGTTTAAACTTTATCTAGTTGATATTTTAATTTTTAAACGTAAGAAGAAGTAAAAAGAGTGTTTGGATATAAAAATAAAATTTATTTTTTGAATGATGATAAACAAAAGATATGACTCTACCTTTATATACACTAATTATGTTATAATTAATGTTATATTTTAATTATTTGTTCATTTCAAATAAACTTTAAATTGCATTTCATTTGTCAATGAATTTCACTGTTTCATATGTAAAATATATATGGACGGCTAGAAAAGAGTAAGGTTAGCCTGTATCGATAACTAATTAAGGCCTTCGTAGTTGATTTTTTTATAATAATAATTTTTTTTGTTAAAATTTCTGTAAAATCTCTCTCTCTCTCTCTCTTACATAAACCTATATTTTTATTAAACAAAAAATTATTGAGAAACTCGTCTTTTTTGTTAATAATATTTTCTTTCTCTCTATGAAATCATGATATATGGGATTATCATCAAGCCCCAATAACCTCAAGGCAATGGTAAGTTTAGCAATGAAACAAAAGATTGAAATTAAAAGACTATAAAGCTTAACATTATTATTTTTTAAATATCCCGTCACAATCATAAATTGCATACGAAGTAACAATAGAACTCCTGTACAATTTAATTATAATCCTAATTAGATCAATCCTAATTAAATATAATTATTGAAATCATGATAAAAGAACAAGTATGACAAGAGTTTATATGCTTCCCCCACATGATAATCGAGGTTTACTCTTGATTATTTTGGCTGCTGCATCGTAACAAAACATGATTAAGGAACAAAAATAATGGCAATAAGATAGGGTTAGACCATATTTTTCAAATGGAATATAGATAATGAGCAGGTCGGGTGCTAGATGTGCATGCATCCAGCAGAATACACTTAGCTATAATCTCCCCACAGGATGATCACGATTTACTCGATTCTTTAGGTTTACTTCATATCATTGACAAAACTTGATTAAGTGAATTTGGAAAGGAACAACCGTCCAAGAATATTATGGGGAAAAACTTCTTTAAAGGGCATAGTAAAATTATGCCTAAAACCGAAAGAGAGATTATTCATCGGTACGTGTAAAGGAATTTTTTGATCGGATTAATAATTCACTTGAGTATTCAATTGTTCATATCTTAAAATTAAGAACTTGGGACATCTCTATACATTTCATCTCTTATTTTTGAATTTAAAAAATTTTCATCTGTATGATATTTATGTGTATTAAAATAATGAATCTTCCTTCTCAAAAGATTTGCTCTTATTTTTCTTCTTAATTACAAGATAATAATGAATTTTATCTAATAATCAAAATTAACATATCAATGAACACCAAAACTTTATCAATCCCACCAACACAATCAAACCTTATTCTACCTCAAACTCAAACTCAAGCTCAAATCCTACTCTTGGAGTGTAACATTAGATAATTGCTTGTTGGGTTTTGATGTGTTAAGCTTGATCCCTAGACCATGGGAGAGACAAGTTCGGGAGCCATGCAAGAATGGCTTGTTGGGTTGGAAGGGGTTGGAAAATTTCTTGATGAGGTAGCTAAATGCAGTTGTGATAAGTGGAAACCAACCCCATCAGGAAGAACTCAGTGGGAACTACATGGCCAAGGCCAACGGGTGCACATTAGCAACAATATCAGGCTTTTTCTATTGTCATTTTCTTTTTTGGTCGATCAATATGAATGAATGACATTAACTTAATGATCACTTGATTTGTCTTGTTTATAATTGTTTGTAGCTTCTTATCTCTTTATCTTGATAATGAATGGCAATTTTGTTTTTGAAAGGCTTTATAAGATTTCAATTTAATCAAATATGTATACAAAAAGGACCTTTATATGGTAGTAGCACAGCCAGCACATGAAAGACATATTCCCCACCACGGCTTGTGCTCCGTATAGAACAAAGGAAGGCAAGAAAAACTATCAGATTTAATCCCACTAGAAAGAATCAGCCCCAACGTTTGCTATATACCCAGAAATATATCTTCAAAATATATATATATATATACCCGGAAGCATATCAGCATTCAGTGGAAAAATCAGTAGGAATCAGCTCCCTGGTGTTACAAATATCCCAGGGAAAACTGTAGTATCATCCTATGACAGAACCAGCTACCATGTTGTCAGTTAATCAGACCATGGGAAGGTTAAGAATCCATGCGTCCAAGAGGGACCTGACAACACCCAAATCTAGCACGTAAAATGGCCCCGGTTTTCTCTCCTTTAGACAATGTGTTGTGTCCTCTCTGGATCCTATCTCAAGACAAAGATCAACCCTTCCTAAAGCAACCACTTCACCTAATTTTCAACAGCTCAAATTTTGGAAATCTAGTAGATCTCCCAATATCTGTCTTTGACCACTTTGTCGAGCATCAAAGTTTAAGCAATCAGTTGTACTTACTATATTCTGTAAAAGGCAAAGAGGAAGGAAGAAAAGGAGGTTGAAGAAAAATTATATATTCTTTTGTGATATAATGTTTTAAAAAGTTCTTAAATTATTTAAAAATTAAAATAAATTTTTATTTTTTATTATATTTAATTAAATTTTTATATATTTTTTTTAAAATATAAATTTTTATAATTAAAAATTAATTAACTATCATTAATAAAATTATACTCACGTAACACTCATATGATGCTGACGTGTAGGATAAAAATATCGTATCATACTATTATATTATGCTAACATCTGATGAAATATATGTCAATATGTAACATTAATATTATGTTATATAAAATAAATAAATAATATTTAGGTTAAAAATAATTAATAAAAAAAACAAAAGAAGAAGATAATTAGTCAATATGTTCTTTGAATGAATATATTTTATATATGGCAAATACTATACGGTGTGTCATGGGATGCAGATAACAACAATGATAGTATTATTGATGGCTAGTGGTAACTACAACCGATTTTATATATATATATATATATATATATATATATAGTCTATTGACCTAGATTTAGGCTTTGAATTTTTTGTTCTAATTTAATTTTTTTTATTGTCTAGTTGATTTTTTTATTATTTATTTTAATTTTTAAAAACAAAATAAAAAGCAAAAAGAGCGTTTGAATGATTCTACCACTTTATAAATTAATTATATTATAATTATGTTATATTTTAATTAAGGATGATTTTTTTTTACCGTTCAAAAATAAATTGTTTTAAAAAATAACCATCTTTTTAATTTTGATTGATTTTAGTTAAAAGAAAAGATTTTTGGACAAAATTATCCTTAAAAAAATCTCTTTATATTCAAA